CTATTCCTCTGTCTTATTCTCTCTCCTTGGCAACACCACTATCTAACATACTATAAAATATATTTATTTGGTTCACTCTTTTGCCATATGGCAGTGTTATGGCTTATGTCTAGATGATTCCCCAAAGCCACATGCAGTTATAGGTGGGGCTTTTTGGAGATGGTTGGATCAAGTGGGCATGATCAAGGATGTGATCCTGGGATTGATTCACAATTCGGTGCTAGGATGAAGGATGCCCCATCCTGGGTGTGAGTCCTGTTTGCCCTAAGGGTAGGTAACATGGGTAGACTATAAGGGATAGAAATAAAGTTGCTGTTGCTGCTTATTGCTTAATGCTTCTCTGTTTCACTGCTTGGGTCCTTGCTGCCTGCCATGGACTGCTTCTCTGCGATGCGCCTCTGTCTGTACCCCTCTGCCTTGCAGCTAGCCAACTACAGACTAAAATCTCTACAAACACTAAGCCAAAATAAATCTTTCTCCTTTAATTCTGTGTCATTTATTTTGTCTCAGCAATGAGAAAAGTAACTAAACAGGCAAAAAGTTTTGTCTTTTATTCATTGCTGTTTCCCAGGTGCCTGGAACAGAGGCTGTCACCTAGTAGTGCTTTTTATTTGTGGAATGACACTTAATTCAAATATTCACTAGTTCAACAGGCTGGGTCTTGCCTTCAGTGAAGGTCTTTTCAGCAGTATCTCTTAAGGGTCTGATTCAGAAAAGGCATTTCATACAGTTCTTCTAACATGAGAGATAATGTATTGTTGGTTTTGTTTTATGAGCTGGTACCTCAGCTATAGCAGCATCAAATTACCTACATAATGTAATCAGGAGGGAGTGTAATGTAACTTAGTATGCTTATAAACTGAACCAAAGACTGATTTTGTACCTTATAAATGAGATTATTAGGTTACCTAAATTTTTTAGTTCCCGATTTCAGGGTTTTCAGAAAGTTTTACCTGATACTGCTAATTTACCTTCTGTGATTGCCAATATTTTGACAAAAGCCTTTTTTCCCCTAAAAGGGATTTTACTCCCGTGGTAGGACTATCTTTTCTTCTTACATTTCCACATTTTCTTTAACAAGCATGTGTTACTTTAAAATGAGAAATAGCTGGGAATGTAGTTCAGTAATTGAATGCTCGTCTACTATGTGAGGCTCTGGGTTCAATCCCTAATAGCGTAATAAAAAATAAATTTAAAAAATGAGAAATAATCAACAACTTAAAAATTTCTAGCAACCTACTAAGTCTAGCAACTCTTTTATAAAGCAGAGAAAAATGTTTAAAATGCCACATTCAAATCGCTATCTTATTTAAATTTGTGGGACAGCAATTGAGGAACTGGGAATCCCACTGAAAGATTTCGAGAGGGGATTTGGGATTAGAGAAGATCATCAAGGCAAAATGAATTTCTCATGCAGAGATTCAAAGGTGTGTTCAAAAAACTGTGACTGTTGAAGAGGATTTGATTTTGTAATGTAGACTAACAATGGACAATGAACAATAGGCCATGGACCACTAGACAATGGACTTTTGGGTTTCTGGGAAGCCTCTGTGGGGCAAGGAATGCTTTTATTTGATATCCAAGGAAGTTGCATGGATTAAAGTCATTTAACTCAAAAAGAAGAAGTACAACTTTGGTTACTGATCAGGTATTTAGGATTAGAAATTACATTAAGGTTAAGTTAAGGTATACGTAGTACATAAATTTGTGATGAACTCTACAAATATTTGGTGCTGATGCTCCTGATTTGCTTGACTCTGAATTAACGAAAGGAAAATAAGTTTAAACATCATGACTAATGGTGCAACTTCAAACCAGTCACTCTTCTTTGTTTTCTACATCAATAAAGACTTTTTGACCTTCTTGCTTCATATAGCTATTCAGAAGTTTAAATGGATGTGGAAATGTTTGGGAAAGCATGACAGACGCTAAAATCAGAGATGTTACTCTTTATGCTCTGATTTGGTCGAGATTCTCCCGTGTCTTAACATACAGTGAATTCTTCCTATGAGAAACGTGTGGTATAAGAAAGCCCCTTACCTTAGATATGCTCCCCAAGTTAATGTGTAAATGTAATGACTTTTCTTTACATAAACTTTCATGATGAATAGTGTTTTAATTTTGTTTTAAAAAAGACAGCTAGAATGCAACATGCTGTTTTTAATTTGTCAAATCAGGAAACTACTCTGGTTGAAACCTTACATACTCTTCCCTGAAGGATGAGACTTTATGTATCTGAGAAGTGTATATTGCTAGTGGAGGTTTAGGGCTTTACACACCTCTGTATCTAGAAGTGTAAAGAATCCTCAGGCTCGGCTGGGGATTTAGCTCAGTTGCTCAGGTGCCTGCCTGGTAAGTGTGAGAGCCTGAGTCTTGAGTTCAATCGCTGGCACCAAAAAACAAAACAAAACAAATCAAACAAACAAATAAATTGTTTAAAAAAAAAAGTGCTCAGGCTCAAATTAAAATAACGAGGGTTGTGAAAGAGGGTAGTGAGGGAGTAAAAGTAACAGGAGGGTGAGGTGACTTCTTGGCTGGTGGGGAGAGATTTCTAGTCTCTAGAGTAAGGGCATAGCGACTTCAATCCTTTTGAAAAGTTTCTGTCCCAAAGAAGGTCTCAGCCTCCTTAGGCCCCCTGAACCTCAGCCTGATTGGGATCAAGATCTAGAAAGCAGAAACCTGTCATGAGGATGAGGGGAGGATGCTGGTCCTCATTTACCAGACTGCTTGCAGGTCCTATGTTTATTTTTCCTAACTATAGTCTCTACAGAACATGGCACTTGCCACCAAGAGATGCTTAATAAATTCTTGCTGACTCAGTAACTGAAGGGTGGAAGGTTTAGCCAACAGGAACATTTGTAGTTCTACTGGAGACTTTGCCCATAGAAATGCTATTTTATTACCATTTGATAGCATTACAGACTAAAACAGAAGTAACCCAGAGAATCACCTTTTGCATGCTATTTAAATCTAATAGTTAAATAAATCTACTAGTGAAGACTACAAATCATTTGGTTGATAGATGCTACATTCCATAACACCTTTTTTTTTTTTAGTACCAGGGATCAAACTCAAACCTCAGACTTGCCAAGCAGACACTCTGGCCACTAAGCTAAATTCCTGGCCCCTCACAACATGTTTTATAGTACTTGTTACAATAGAAATATAGTATAATTCACTATTCTTAGACTTTAAAAATGTAGTTCATCAATTAAAAATATTGAAATCTTTAATGCTATTGTTTGTACCACTAGACACATTTATTCAACTAGACTGAAATTCTCAGAGAAATTTTGAGAAGAGCTTTTTAAGGGGCAGTTGATTCTACTCACAAGTAGAGATTAGGATGTGTGTGTTTTTTGGGAGGTTGGGTATACAGACTTTTAAGGAAGCTTTTATTCTTTTTTTTTACACTTACATTTGTCTAGATAAACCTTTCTTTAAGATAGGCTTTAGCAAAGTGGTCCTTGTCAAGTCTTCTCAAAGAAGATAGTTGTTTCTTCTAAACTCAACACTACAACCTATATGCAAAAAAATTTTTAATAGTTATTCATGTAAATAGATTTATAAAGACAGGAAATATTTCCACATTTTCTGTGCCAAGCAATCAAGCAAAACACAGGAGCAATATAATTAGTAGGCAGAAACTGGGTGGGGGGAGGCTGCACAGACAATAGCTATGCCCTGAGCAATACATGAGCGCCATCTGGAGGACTTATTTGAAACAACAAGCAGTAACCAAAGAACCTGATGTTTTCAATTATTGATATGATTTATGCACAAGCAGACAACAAAGCCAGGGATAAATTACCTTCATTTAATGTCCCTGAACTCCTACTATTTCAAGCTTCAAGTGTGACTCCTGCAATATCGTTCCTGAGATACTTTCTGCCAAAATTGTAAATTAAACTGTAATATCTTAAGAGCTGTAAGTTAACTCATCAGCAAATACAGTTCAGGAAGAACTAGGAAGGAAGGAAATAGACATGTGTCCCTGCCTCATACAAATCATCAGAATTTTTATTCACCCAAAGATATAAATGACTGACATTTTAATTAAAGGCATTCACATTTAATAGATTAAAAGCCTTAAGAGACAGACATTGTGAGAAAGTCAGAATTTCTAGTAGATGTCAACGGCTGGAGTGACTATGATAGAACAAGATAACTATCTCCTTTACAAAATTCTTAATTATTTCTTTTTTAACTAGGGTGTTCTTACTGATACTTATTTTAATAAAAATGTTTTAAAAGAAGTACTCTCCCTCCTCCCCCCAAAAATTCTGAATAATTTACCAGCTACACTTGCTGTTTCTACATTTCTAATGAGATACTGGTATTTTGGGAACATTTTTACCCACTTCAATGCTTCTCAATTATCTATTAAGCAACTTTCTTCTTTGCTTTCTTCTTTCCTTTCTTTTAAATTCCAATCACTTGAGAGTCATTATTTGGGTAAGTCAGAATAAAAAATGTATGGCAATATCTCAAAGTTTAGTGCTTCTTTGTGTTTTCATGGTGCCTGGACCACCACTGGCAGTGTGCAGACTGGCAAGGATTTGTGGATCCATTTGAGGGTCAGTATCTAACTCCTGTTGTCTCTTCTAAAAACTATGCAGATGACAGTTGGACATGGTGGCATATGCCTATAATCCCAGCACTGGGGAAGCTGAGGCAGGAGGATCATAAGTTCAAGGCCAGTCTGGACTACAAGTGACTACAAAACACACTGCCTTAAACAAAAAAGCCTGATATGATCTAACAACTTCTGCCCATCAGTACTACCAATTATATTCAAGGGCTTCATTCACACATTCCTCCCTTGTTTTGATCTCACTTCCACTAATTTTTAAGTCTTTGAGTCCATTGCAATGAAAACTATGAACTCTTATCAGACCCCCACTTTACACTGATTCTCGAAATGTTTGCACATTTTCCCCATAATTTTGTTCAGTACATGCTCCCTTCAGCAGCACATATGCTTAATCAGTTCACTCCAGTTTAGTTCTGTTAACTTTATTTGCTGTGAATTTGGCATAGACAACAGAAGCTCGTGTAAGACACTTTAGGTAGCATAAAAAGTTCAGATATTTCAGAATTAACAAGAAATTCATGTAGCAAAACAGTGTAACACAGGACACATGCTTTCTTGATTTAAAGATTATAGGAAATCTTCAGGTGAATTTTTTTTTTTTGCCAAATACAGACTGCAAATCTTGAATGATAAGTAATTATAACTTTCTGAGGTTTCCTTTAGTCATTGGCTAGACAACAGTGAAGTTTTTTCTTGTCTCAATAATCCTAAACAGAAAATTCCACATACGCATATATTAAAGTGTTCATACATTTGCATTTATAAGGCACAAAACTCACAATTCTCTCAAAGAAAAAAAACATAAAGGCTTGAAAACAAAAAACCTAATAATAAAGGCTCATTAAACTGAAGTTAAAACAAGCCACTTCCATTTCTTAGTAAACAGGGATGTCACACTGCTGGGAAGTGTAGTCTGTGAAGAGAGGGCTCCACAGCCCCTCCTCTGCGCAGCCATCTTCACTGGATTAGCGCAGAAGGCAGTTCTTAGGGGTATGTGGCTGGAACACTTTAACTGCAGTACCCCTTGTCCCACAGAAGCTGCTGGGGAGCAATGTTCCCAATGATGTTTTGGCTACAAGGTGCGTGCTTCATTCATTCTTACTCAAAAGGAGGCTTCCAGGGACCAACCACATGGCGCATGCATGTTTGCTTGTCCCAGGAGTTGACTATTTTAAGGGTTCGACTCTAAACAGCCACAACTGTCTGCCTGAAAACCCTGGATTAGGGTAGTTATGTCGATCCTACAGGGGGCAGAATCTACATAAAGACTGGACCTTAAATCCCTCTTGAAATAATCAGATCCTCCAGAGGATCCTTAGAACCAGTTCACCCTAACAAAGTCATTTTAAACATGCTGATCAAATCTGCAGATCCCTGGAGCAACACCCAGATCTAGGGTCAGTAAGGCAGCCCTATTTAATAGCTCCCAACCAATTCTGCCTACTACAGTATAAAACAAAAAGGGTCCATGACACAGATCAAGGAAGGGTGTCTATACTTGGTGGTTGGCCTCCTGGTGGCTCTTGGCACGTACTTTCTAGTACCATTTACATTGGTGTTATGTCAGAATAAGCTTCCTGAATGATTACCTGGCTCCAAGAATTTCCTGGAGTAAATAAGACTGCTTCATAGTCCTTTATATTATCATGCAAAACAGGGATGGGAGTAAACACTATTTCAGACTAAACAGTCAGGCAGACAGTTGTCCTGAGAAAAGGGTGTTATAGTAGGGACTAGAAATCAGATGAACCAAATAATTCATTGTGTGTAATTCATTATGGGTTTCACTATATCATCTTGAATATTGTGACTTCCACCCTAGGTAATCTTAACTCCAAATAAGACAGGGTCCCGAGGTCAACACGTTCAACTGCCAAAGACCAACACGGTACAATGGCCATTACCGTAGGATGAGGACCAGCCACCTACTTACTTTCCAGACCAATTCTATTATACATTCAGTTCTAGGACTTGCCTCTGGAATCCTTAGTGAGAATTCTGCTAAATTTTCAGACACAAAGATGGAAGGTTCTTTCTAGTTCTGTGTCTCACAAGTCTTACCCAAAATCCTTTCCCTGTGAGTCCATGACCCATAGAAAAAAGGAATTTTCCTTTTATTAATAACAAAATTCTTGAATCCTTTGGCTTTGAAATGCTGCAGCCACAGTGTATCCTTGGAAACGCACGTTAATTTAAAAATCAACACTTAAAAATGAAAAGTCAACTTCCGTTGCTGCATCAAGTACTCCCCGAATCACAAGGGGCCACCTCTGTACCTTGCCCCCACCTGCAGCCTCAGGAATCTTTCTTGATCAGTCTGGCCTTGACTTTATGCCTCAGGAGCGCTGCAGTGGCAGCACTGCAGGCAGCCAAGAAGAAGAAGGACAGGCAGGCTGCGTAGACAGACATGGGACCATGGCGCTGCAAGAAGAGCTCATGGCGCCCCTGGTAGTCCAGGAGGATGGCCTCCAGCTGTGACAGCGTGCAGACTGACAGAAAGGCGTGGAAGATTTGATGCCCGTGCCCCACTATGTCACAGGACCCAGGGAAGTACTTCTCAGGCACCGGGCAGGAGAAGAAGTAGGCGCTGACCAGGAAGAAGAGGATCTGGAGGGTGTGGTACCAGGCCGCCTGCTCCTGGCAGCCGGCCAGGTGGCAGAGCGCCACTCTGTGCGCCACCGGGCTGATGTCCAGCACGAAGGCCAGCCCCGCCGGGACCACCTGGCAGAGCTTCCTCATCACCGGGTAGGGCCTGCGGTAACGGTACTTGGCGTAGCAGCAGCCAGCACAGGACAGCCAGCCGCAGAAGGCGGCCGCGGGCAGGAAGAAGAGCCAGAAGCGCTCGTACCAGGCCTGGTCGGAGCTGTAGAAGAAGTGCGCAAGCGCGCTGCCGTACTGGTAGACGCTGACGCCCACGTAGTCCAGGAAGTAGAAGGTGTAGTGCGACAGCTCGGACTTGGACTGCAGCAGGTGCGCCAGCAGGCTGCACGTGAGGTAGGTGAGGGAGGACAGCACGAAGAGCAGCAGCGGCAGGGCGCGCGGCGCGGTCCAGGCCAAGGCCTCGGCCTCGGCGAAGGCCCAGAAGCGCAGCAGCACGGCGAGCGCCGCCAGCAGGTGCGTCCACACATTCACCACCTCGTTGTGCTTCTGAAAGAGGCTCAGGAAGTAGTAGCGCCACTCGTGGCCAGTGGGGCGGTAGCCGGCGCGGATGTAGGGCTCGCGGAAGAGCTGTGGCACGTCGGTCTCGGGGACGGTGCGGGGCATCTGCGGAAGGCCGCCCTCCAGGATCTTGGGCAGGCGGCGCAGCTGCGGGCCGCTCACCGACAGCGTGCTGAGGCGCTCCAAGATGGCGGTCGTCATGGCGGCGCCCGGGGCCACCTGAGGAGGAGAGGCAGAAGCGGGTTGGCGAGGCTGAGCTGAGCAGTCTAGTCTTAATGCAGCATGGCGTTCTAGGGCAGGAGGGGAAAGTGAGGAGCCGCGGGGCCGCCTTTCCTTGCCACTCCCAGGATGAGGATGTTTGTTTACCACACTGACAGCAGGAGGGAGGCGGGCGCACATCTTGTGAAATCATCATGTGCTACTCGCACGTGATTGCATGCCACGCAAGGGTTAATGATATCTAGAAGGTAAATTAGGCTACTTGTGAAGGATGGAGGGCTTCCGAGATGTTATGAAAATGTAATCCTCGAGCCAGGTGTGGTACCCAACGGTCTGTTACCTCCACACTCAGGGAAGCTGAAGCAGGAGGATGGCAAGGTGGAGCCTAGCCAAGGCAATTTAGTGACTTAACAGGACTCTGTGTCAGAAATAAAAGGTTAAAAAAAGGGATGGGTATGCAGCTCAGTGTGAAAACCCAGGTTTAATCCACAATATTGCAATAAAGTAATTATTAGGCAGGACTGAAATATTATAAATACAGTGCAATATAATATTTGATAATATTGATATGACTGATGGTAGCTTCTATTTTTTTAGTACCCAGCTAGTTTTACATTATCCATTAAATGCAGTCACACTAGTCTTTGAGTCACCTGAGTAACTGTGTCCTTTGTTGAGTAACGTGATATGCATAGAGAGACTTTATAGTCCAGGGACATAAGCACTATCACCTTCAACTCTCAAAGACTCAGCAGACAACAAATGCTGGCCAGGTTGGGGGGGGGGAAGGAACTTTTCTCTGGGACCTTAAACTAGGACAACCACTGTGGAAATCAGTATGGAGATCCTTAAAAAAACTAAAACTGGAGATTTCATTTGACCTAGCTAGAGCTATTCTGGGTACTTTCCTGAAAGAGTTAAAGTCATATTACATGCATATCCATCTTTATAACAGCAAAAGTCACAATAGCTAAATTATGGAAATGGTCTATGTGCCCATTCAAGGATGAATAGATAAGAGAGACTGTGGTACATATAGTACTCAGCCATAAGGGTAACTTGAGTCATCTGTAAGAGAAATGGATACACCTTGAGACCATAATGCTAAATGAAGTAAGTCCATGAAGATTAAATGTTACATGGTTTCATGAATAGTAGACCCAAAATATAAACAAAATGCAAAATCAAAGAGAGATGGCAGGAAACAGAAAGGCAGACTCTGTGGAGATAGAAAGGGAATCTAGGAAATGATGGGGGTGGAGAGTAGGAGGAGAAGGGAAAGTAAAACTGATCAAGACACAATATGTATATTTATTAATTTCCTAAGATGAATGTAATTGTGTATCATGAATGTATATTAATTTTAAAACAGTATAATTCCTTAACTCACTCAGCAATGAGGATGTTGCAAAGGTATCTGTGTGAAATAGTCTTAAATTTCCCTTTGGAAGTGCAGGGGGAAAATTCTAAGTTTATGGTCAAAAAGAGGGAATTCTTTTTCCATTCCTTCACAACTACCTCTTTCCTCACAGCCATGACAATGATAATGAGTTGTAATTCTTTTATTAACATTAAACTCAGAAGCCACTATCCAGTGAGGTCTTATTCCCCATTCCATGATAGGTGGTGTTCACTAAGCCAGAGTGGACAGTGCTTCCAAAAAGAGACCTCAAAGGGCCAGCTGCAAAGTAGGAGCTGATTTTGGAGGAACCGCATATGGACATCACACAGGCATGCCTTCCAGCCTTTGTGGATGCTGCTGTAAGGCCCCTCCCTCATTCCTAGCCTCTCTCTCTGCACACATGCTACCCAGGCTAATGCTGTTCTTAGCTCAGGATAATATCCTTTGCATGGGTTTCAGCTGGGACAGCTGAAATTTAAATCTTCCTTAGGAATCCTCATGAATAGTATATGGTGAAGTAAATAATTTTTATTAACCAAAGCTTTTTTAGAGTGAGGATTATTTTTTAGAGTGAGGATTCTTTACTATTCTAGGATTTAAAGGCCACAGGGGAAGAATAAAATAAGACCCCTGACACCAAGAAGCTTGTAAGAAGACAGCCAAAAACACCAGATGGCATACAGTTGCATGAAATACAAACAGATCTGCTTAGAATAGAGCATGCTAGGGCAGCCATGGGGAAAATAGACTTGTGTTAGATGAGGAAGGCTGAATAGAGATTAGACAAGTGAGGATACTGCATCCTGAGAAAGAAGCAAAATACTAAGACAAAGACCATTCTAGGGACAGATGTAGGCCACTAACCTTTTATTCAATAAAAGAATGATTTGTTTTCTTCTGAGGCACTCAAGGACTTGAAAACTGCTTTTGTTATTAAAACAAAAAGAAAGCAAAACAAAACAATAACAAGAAAGACTTTTCATTTGGGCTTGCAGATGCTCCACAGGTAACTAAAAGCAGAATTTAAAAAACTGTAATTTTTTTGTTTTGTTTTTGGGTACTGGGAGTTGAACTCAGGGTCTTGTGCTTACCAGGCAGACACTGTGCCACTGAGCTACATCCCAAGATCTAAAAGCAGAATTTGTATCTGTTTCCCTTATTGCTTTAAAATGTTGAGTAGGGTGCTTGTACAAGTCTGCATATAAGTGTATTAATCATTTAGGGAATGTCTGTTTAAAAATTGGCACTACAGTGTTGATTATCCTTGAATTCATATAACTTACTTCATCTCCTTTCAAGAGTAAAGATATAAAGTTAAGAGATTAACAGAGACATTCAACTATCAGTGAGCACTCAGTTCTCTGGTCATTACCTTGTGTTCCAGCAGAACCTCCTCAAAACTGAGACTGCCAAAGTAGAAGTAATCATCCTGTAGAAATCAACTGCTCTCTCAAGCAATGACTTTACAAATTTTTTTCCAGACTTTACAAAATTACAACTGAGATAAAACCATTCGGACTTCTGGGAGAACATGGTGGATAGATAACAGCAGCTATGGAGGCTCTCTCAGTTAGCCAGCTTAGAATCCAGGAATGGTGCAGTATGAGGAGTCCTAAACAAGGGGAGATATACCCTGCCAACCCAGGAACGAATTAAGCTGAGAGAAACCAACTGGAAATGTAATCCCGGTGCTATTACTGGAACGGATAAAATCTCAGCACGGAAGCTGGAACCCGCGCCTCTGTAAATCGTGATTTGAATTTCCTGCCACCACTGCTGCATCTGAATCGACACAGCAGTGACAGAGATGTAAAACCTCTGAGAGCGGAAATCAGTGAATGGAGTTGAGAGGGACTGGCGGGGAGCCCTGCATCAACCTGCCATGGTGAGTGAGAGAAACGGGGACCCCTCCATAGATAAGGAGGCGCCAACAGAGGACATTCTGGGACTGGGCAGACTAGCCGGAACAGGACACTGCAGTGACTTCAGTTACATATTCCCCTCCAAAGCGGGATTGGTGGGGAGCACTTGGCCTGGGTGATGCTGTGGACTAAGACCCAGTAGGCTAGCCCAAACCAGGTCCCACCCCTGGTGGTGCACCCTACCAGTGCAGTCTTCAGTAGGTTGACCTGGAGGAGCAGGCCCAGCAGAGGCTGCCCAGGTATGTGTCTCCCTAGTACACTGCAGTGGGCGGGAACACCTAGCCGGTACAATTCAAACAAATTGTAACCAACAAAGAAAGAAACTGGGCCTCCTATATATGCTTGTATGGAACAAAAAGTATGGGAAGAGGGAGCAACAAGAAAGGGTCCTTGGCCCCCAATCCTGAGAACACTGATCCAGGAAAGGTAAATGCAAAGGAGAATGAGAACAGAAAACATGTAATATCAGACACGGCACCAACAGACATAAAGCGATATCTCCAGAGCCTCATAGATGAGTTCAAAACTGAAGTATTTAAAGAAGTAAAGCAAGATATAAGTAGAACAGTTAGAGAAATGCTAAGCATCGCCCAAGAAAAAACAGATGGTGGAATGGAAGAACAGAAAAAAAAGGGGAGAATTGTTTGATGGAGAAAATAGAGAAAACATAGAATACGTGAAGCAGGTTCAAAGAGATTACCAGGAAACTAAAAACTCTATTGAAAGCTGGCATAACAGCTTGAAAGAAACTAAGGATAGGTTATTTGAACTGGAGAACAGATTTGTAATGTGGGAGCATGAAATGAAAAACTTCTTAAAAATAACAAGGAAACAAACAGCAATAATAGAAAGGCTTGAAGATAAGAGGATCTATAACTTAAGAATTAAGAATGTAAAAGAAGTAGGGACACAAACAAATGAACTACAAAGACTAGTCACAAAAATAATCCAGGAAAATTTTCCTAATTTAGCAAAAGGTAAAGATACTCAGAGGTATGAGGCATACAGGACCCCAGCCAACTACAACCCAAACAAAGCTACACCCAGGCATATAATAATCAAAATTCCAGAAATCCAATATAAGAACAGAATACTAAAAGCTGTCAGAGACAAGAAACAAATCACTTACAAGGGAACATCTATCAGAATTACAGCAGACTTCTTGGCACAAACCATCAAATCATGAATAGCCTGGGGGGAAATAATTCAAGCTTTGAAAGATAATAATCTCCAGCCAAGATTGAGATATCCTGCACAACTGTCCCTAGAAATTGATGGAAAAACAAGGTGCTTCCAGGATAAAGAGGAACTAGGGGAATTTGCAACCACCAATTCAACTCTGCAGAGAATACTGCAGGACATTCTAAAAAATGAAAAATACCAAAATTCCAGAAACAGTGGCAGAGAGGCCACAATGAATGGAGCAGAAAGCAAAATGAAGAAGACAAACTGACAACTAATGACAGAAAAAGAGCTCAACAGAAATGAGGTAGAGAAGGTTGGATGGTAGGAACAGCTATTTTGGAGAAAACAAGACATCATAATAGCTGGTGCTAATTTAATATCATCTTGTTTTGAAGTCTCATCAAGCTTTTGTTCTTCTGTCTCTACCGGTCTTAACATGTTGTATCTTACTGGATTTTATTATATGTGATAATATAAACAAACTTTTATAGACAAGGAGATTATACAGAAATCATTGTTCATTTTCTGTTAGTTGATTCTAAATACCCTGTAATACTGTCATTCTCTTGAATGGTTTTACATTGTCTTGATATGTTTGATGCTACAGTGGACGAAGTTATACCCAAAGATTTCAAGGAAAGAGACACTATGGTAACTACTTTTATGTCGATATATCTTGTGGTGAAACACTATTTTGCTTAAATGGTTATGTTTTGATCTCAGCTGTTTTGTTGATATGCCCTTTTTTATCTCAACCTTTTTTTATTATTTATTTTTTTATTTTTATCTTTTTAATTAAGGGAAAAATAAAAAATAGTAGGTTATATTATAGTAACCCACTTTGATTTCCTATTAACTTGATTTGAAACCCTGCATTGCTCTCACCATCTTGTTTTGACTGATTTTACTCTATTCTGTTTTGCTTGATACTACTAAGTTCGAGAGTATAGGCAACAACTGTGAAGACAATAAGATTCATTATGATGCCCATTCTTGGTTTGACTATTATCTTTTGAAGTCCTGTAATGTCTCCAGTGTTTTGGTTTTATTGGTTTTGTTCTTTACTGTTTTGTTCAATTTTATTATAACTGATGATATAGGCAGTTCTTTTTAAGATAGCAAGAGGAATTATGGTAACCATTGTTGATCACCTTGTATTTTGTTTTTACAGTATGTATTTTGTCCATCCTTTTGATTTGACTGACTCTGTTTCGTTATGTCACATTTGGTTTTATTCTCTTCAAAAAAAGTAATAAGAACTGTGGGAGTAATAAAACCCAAAATGTGTAATTGTCATTGTACAAAAGAGAGGAAAATAAAGTGCTCTAAAGGATTTAACTGCATGTATATTTAAGTGTATAAGATACATAACCATATTACTGAGTTTTGTTGGATCACTGAACAGAACTGTTTGCAGTCTCACAGTTTGAATATCCACTTTATATGCTTTAAATTTGTAACTTGAACAACTATTTCTAAGATGACAATATGTAATCTATTAACTAGTGATTTCCTACTGTTTATTTTTTCTGAAATTCTGTATAACTTATACCCTTTTTCTGTGTTTTCTTTTTCTCCTTAAATAAAATTTAAAAACAATAATAACAACAACAAAAAACCATTCCATAGCCCACCTGAGCCCCTCTGAAAAAACTGGCCTTATTCTTCCTCAAAGCACTGTCCCTTTAGGTCCTCAAAATGAAGTCCCTTCCCATTCTGCCTTACTTTCTAAATCTATGTAATAAATCAGCCTGTCCCTCTCCCTGATACATCCTGAAATGCTTTACTGCATTTTCAGTAAGTCAAGATCCTGCATAAGCCAACTTGAGGTGCCTAGCTCCTCAGGGGACCTCCTGGTGTAGCACCACAAAATGTAACCTTAGAAATTACATTTTTGGGGCTGGGGATTTAGCTCAGTGGCATATGGTCGTGAGTTTGATCCCATAACAAAAAGAAGTTACATTTTTTTCTTTTAGTGCTAAGTGACTTCCCCAGCCTTTCCCAGGCCTAGGACATAAACACCTAGCTACCCCCACCTTTCCTCAGTCTGGATGAATAGACAGAATATGCACAGGCTGACACCAAGAGGTCTAATCCAATTTCATTTCCTCAGGCAAGGCAAAGAGAGATCTGGGTTCAGAAAGGGAAGGAATAAACCTGGACATAACTATTGTCTCACTGTATTTTTCTCCCGGCACTGTTCCTGCTATGAAAGACCCTAACACACCTGTACACACCCGTGAGATGGTGATTTGAACCAGACAGGCCCCTCCATCTCCTTGGAGCTAGCTTAGAATAAATCCATTTTCCTTTTCACTAAAATAAGTGGCTCCCTTTTGTGGTAGGCAGTATAGCCTATTAGCTTATAAGTAGGCAACCAGTAAAAGACATTTGTCTTTTACTAAGATGGTGTTAAGCTGATCAGCCTTAAAAGAAAATAGCAGGTATACAAGTTTAAGGGTTAACTCAAGCCATACAGATCACTGAGCTCAGGAATGTAACAACACGGGAAATGGCCATTGTAGGCTGATCCTCCTCCTCTTTTACTTTCTTCTATTACACAGCATGGTTCCTGAGTGGCCAAACAGTGTGTGATCAGTGTGTGGCCACTACCTGGTCTGTGAGCATAGACAAATTCTATAGGCTAAACCTGCCGTCACTCCTTAAGGACAGAAACCTGGCCACCTTAACATAAAAGACCCTAGACAGTCCACTCTGGCAACCTTTATTAAGGTCCCCTTCCAACTATTGGGAGCTTTTTTTCTTTCTTATACATCTAATAAGGATTCCTCCTAACTGCTTTTGTCTGTGCTTTCATTCTTTGACTTTGTGAGACACCAGCCTAGTATGGGGAGTGATATTTTGATTTCATCAGTAGCAGGCAATGAAAGAGCATATAAAAGGTCAAAAATACTTGGCTCCTATCCACTGACAGTATGCACGTGGGAATTAATTGAGTTCTTGGTGGGTCCACAAGCAGAAGAGAAATGATGAGGAAGAAGAGTTGAATGAGGCAGTGGCATCAGTAAAATCTCAGATTTGATGTTACAGAAGGAAAACGGGAATCACTTCTCTACCCTGAAAATTTTGGCGGATTTAAATGCTTATTTCCCTTGAGCTCTGCAGGACTTCCACAGCTAGTCAATGCCTCCTTTTTGGCTCTGCCTCTGTTTTTTATTCCCACCATCTCTGTCAACTGTGGTATTCCCAAACTCACCATAGTTTGTCTACAGTGGAAACTTGTAATCCTTATCATGCAAACATGACCTTTCTCTTTTGACCTTCTTATTCTAGCCTCCTTAGTCAGTCTATACTACCCCAACCCAGTTTCTATGACCTGAGGCCTGCCTTGTAATGCTGAGAATTATTCCGCAGTGCCTCCTCCCAGCAACTCTAGCTCACATTCAACAGCCCCTCAGGAACAAACTCTTCCAGGAAGCCTTCCCCTTCCCCTTTTCTTTTGGCTTTTTGAGACAAAGTATCAGGACTCAATATGTTGCCCAAACTGGCCAATCCTCCTACTTCAGCCTCCTGAGTTGTGGGATTACAGGAATGTGCCATCACAACCAGCTCAGGAAGCCTTTCTTAACCCTTAGAGGGGATTACAGCTCTTCCCAGCTCTGTAGTATCTAGTTTTGCTTCTGCTTGTTCTTTCTTGCAGTCATGATGATTGATTTATTCCCTTACATCACCATTTGCTGCCAGCTCCTTTAAGGACAGAGATTATTTAGTGTAGAAGTTCCTATTTTTTAAATACTGTCTGGCATATAAAAGATTATCTACTGAATGAAGACCAGTAGAAAAAATAAATGAAATCTGGATGTCAATATTTGCTTTATTTAATTAACTGTGTGACCATGCCCAAGACATTTAACTACATAGCATCATTTTTCTCTTTAGGAGGGTGGGTGGGAGGAAGTAATTTCCTATTGAGGATGGATATGAGAAATAGGTTAACAAGAGAAGAGGAAAATTGTACTTTTAAATCATCAGAAATAAGATCAGAAAAAGATAAATTATTAAGACAATTTGGGGGGCTGGGGATTTAGCTCAGCGGCATAAGCACCTGCCTTGCAAGCAGGCAGTCGTGAGTTCAATCCCTGGTACTGATAAAAATGAAAAAGACAAAAAAAAAAAAAAAAGACAATTTGCTTATGAGTCATCACTCTCAGCCTGAAAAGATGAGATTGGGGAATCTAAAGAGCTAAGATTTTTGCTCACCAGTGGAAGATCAGACCTGAAAGGAAACACTCCCTCTGGAATATAGAGGAGGGATCAGGCCAGACTGTCTTGGTGAAATCTGTCCTCCAAGTCTTAAGAATGGTTGCTGGCCTACTGCCTTGACTGGCAGGGTTCCATGATTTATTTATAGGTATGTATATTTTTTTAAATACTATATATCATAAAAAGACCCATTTTATAGAATTTTATAAATTTACATTTTGGTTAGTATCCAAGTCCACTAGGAGTCACTCTAACCTTACTTTTCCCTACAACTGAGGACAAACCCACAATAGTCAAAAAGAAGTCAAACAGGTCAAGCAAAGACTGCCAATAAATTCAGCAACTAGGTAAATCTAAATGTAGCATATACAAAAACAGAAACAGAAGATTTTGCCAGCAAAAGTAACATATCCTATCAAAGAAACAATCTTTCTCAGATTTACCATTTTAACAACAACAACAACAAAAAGATGGTCTAAAAAAAAAAAACAATAGCTAGGTGTGGTGGCGCACTCCTGTAATCACAGCACTTGAAAGGCTGAGGCAGGAGGATCTTTGAAAGACCAGCCTGGGCTACAAAGTGATCTCAAAACCAGCCTGAACAGCATAGTGAGATCCTGTCTCAAAAAAAGACAAAACAAACAAGACCTAAGCATTCAAAATTCAAGGCATAAGTAACTAACAAACAAGGATAACAGTTTTTGATTATCTAAACAAGTCACAGTCTAGAATCCATGAAGCAAAGGCAGAATCCATGAATTTCACCTCCTGATTATCTTGGTGGAGCTGCCAAAAGACATAGTGGGAAATAAACGTAACTTCCAACCTGCCACATGTCAAGAGATTCTGAGTTTGTATTCTTCAAAAATCAAAGAATGGGGGCTGGGGATTTAGCTCAGCAGCATAAGGGCCTGCCTTGCAAGCAGGCAGTTGTGAGTTCGATCCCTGGTACCGATTAAAAAAAAAAAGACAAAAAAAAAGGGGGGGGGCTGGGGATTTAGCTCAGGGACATAAGCGCCTGCCTTGC